ATGTTTGTATAATATCAGAAGAGAAAATTGTTGAATGATTTGGTTAAATAACAAAACTCAAAGTAGACATATATACAAAACTCAAACTGATTTCATTGGCTACAAATGAAAGCTAAAGATACAACCAAAACTTTTGTGTATAAAGCAGACATGAACAAAAGCATTGGCTACAAATTAAAGCTACAGAGACAACCAAAAACAGTTGGTTCCACTTGTGCAGATGAAGCCAAGACTTGTGAAAAAAATTGTTTGGTTGTGCCGACTTGGTAACAAAATGCTCATATCTGAAGTAACCACTTGTAGTCACTCGATGCTTTTGCACAACCTACACTGAGGAGAAAACATCAAGTCACCATGCGATTTCAAAGAGACAAAAAGGATTACAAAGAGAGTTGTTGAACTCCCAGAACCAACAAATGGAAAGAGACAAAAAAGATTACAAAGAGACGTGAGTCACCTGTAGCTCACACTTATCCTCCCTTGCATTTTGTAAGTGGCCATCCCAAATGCACTCACACTTATCCTCTCATTCTCCTCTTTCTTCACATCTGTTTCAATGCCAAATAAAAAACCTGAACTTTAGAAAATGAAAGTACTATACACGTTCAGTATACAATATACACGTTCAGTATAAAGAGACTCATATAACAAGTAAAAAGGGAAGGAAATCAACAAAGATATTAACATTCAGATTTATAACAAATTTAACAAGTGAAAATGTACAACAGATTCACACCAAATCTTCTTAAAACACACAACATAGAACATTTCGAATTGAAATTGAAATATGATACAAACACATAAATCACTTCTTAAAACACACAACATAGAACATTCCGAATTGAAATTGAAATATGATATAAACACAGAAATCACTTCTTAAAACACACAACATAAAACATTCCGAATTGAAATTGAAATATGATACAAACACAGAATATGGAACATATGCAAGGAAAGCACACATGAAATCACTTCCTCTTAGACAACATTTCTATAAGAATCATGTCCTTGAAAGCTTCTTCTTTCTCTTAAAGTTCTTTCTTTGCAAGGAGATTGTCTAGTAGTCCCATCATGGACAGCTCTTTTTGCATATTCATGTCCTTCTCTTTTAAAGAGAACATACTCTAAAATCGCTCCATCTTCTTGCTATCATCCATTATCATCTTACATTTCC